ATTTTTGTGAATAACTTAAAATCTTTAGGAGTACGTGATGAAATTCATTCTTTTGTAGTAACTATTTCATATTCGAATAGGTTGTGTTGTGTAAATCTATTAAGTCTTTCTCTTTGTTCCAGATTCCTTACTCACAAAACAACTCAACAGTATGCATCAAAATGAACAAAATGAAAAATCTTCAACATGTGAATTTAATCTAGTTTCCACAACGACTTCATCTGGTTTGTTAAGGAATAAAATAAAAAATTCAAACGAAATTGTCACGATACCACCAAATGTAATCAATCAAAATTCCTCAAGTATGGATTCAAGGGATTTTCTTTGTATCACCGGTACTACTACTATTACTAATAATACTGACAATATTGATACAACAATAACAGGACAGTCTAATACATTATCTAACTTGATGTTAACCAAAATATCAAAAGATGGACTTAACCATTTTAATTAATTCCCAATCATCTTGACCAAAAATGAAATTTTAATTGATTTCTCCGTACAACAATACTTTCAATAAGATTCAATTTTCTAAACGAAAATAATTCCAGAGTAAAATGGATATCAGTCAATATATATATATGAAACAGCGCTCGATTTCATATTTCCCCATTACTATTGACCTTCTTATCACTGTATTTTCTTGTCAGAGAATAAGTAGGAGAAATATTGCATTGTTACCAATGTATGGTGGAAATGGTACAATGTATGATTTCATTACAAACACTTTCAATTCACTTATGCACAGAAATATAAGGGACACGCCCCTTCATGGATTAGAATGTTAACAGATCTCTCTCTCAATATATATATATATATATATATATATATATATATATATATATATATATATATATATATATATATATGATTACAGACTTCTGTGGATCAACATTAAATAAAAATGTTTAACAACACCAACCGTACTGTACAGCTTAAAAGTTGTGTTAATGTATATAATCTTATGAAAAAATATATAAATTCAATTTATTGTTGTTGGTTATTAAGAATGCATAATAAATTCCTGTAAAACACCGAGAAGACAATTTTTTGATAGGTATCGGCTGGAGTGGAAACCAACATTTCAGGTCATCAACCGATAAGGTAGAAATTCTCTTACTCTGGATTTCTGTTCATGTTATCACGTAGTCGGAGCCAATTCAATGGACGATTTATCATGTAGTGGGACCAATTGTTACAAATAATTAATTACATTCTTTACTGTAATTCAGGTTTCTTAAACCCGACCGTTGTTGCTACCTTGATGTAGTGGTCGGGCTTGCCTATCGTGATGAACCAATCGAGCTATACTGGCTGGAACAATCGTTCCGCAAGGTTCTACCGTGTCAAACAGGTCGGTTAAAGAACGTTAAGACTGAAAGCAACAAACTCAAGGTATGAAGGCGAAGTCATATTGCTGACTGTACAGAGGTGTGGCGGCAGTAAGGTGCTCACTTCAGACAACCAGCATAACAGCGATGCTGTCTTCCCACAACGAGGGGTGTTGTTAGAAAAGGTTGACCCTAAAAATGCACACCTCGCCTTATCCAACGGATATCCATCTCCGGTGGCAAGGTCTCAACAAGTACGGAGCTAACACAAAAACTACTCATAAGAAGGTCGTGTGTGACCGACCTCAAGCACTTGTCCCTTGGGTACTGCGGTCACACTCTCAGGTCACTAAGACCACCTCTTATCCAATTTCTTTTTCAGGTATCTCCAGAAGAACCCTTCCACGGTGTGAACAACCGAGGAGTGAGAACCGCCCTCATACCTCTAACAGCACTCATGACCATCGACCGAGGTTTCTTAAAATGTATATGAACAGTGGTAGTTTTTCTTAAATACTAATTCTTCGCAGTTACAGGCCAAATGAATATTCATATTAGTGTAGTAAACTTAAAACTGAGTGATATGGAACGTAATCAATTGGAGTGAAAACGAAATATGAAACTGATTTTTTTTCAATCGTTTGTGATATGTGTAGTCACGTCTTAACAAGGATTATAGATGCATCATTGTATTATGTTATAAATGTGTTCAGACAGTATTATTGTTAATTACAACTCGATTCAATTTATACAAATATAACTGTTAATCTCATTGTAAATAAATCATATAAGCCCTCAAATGCCCTGGTATGGCCGAGAGTGGGGAGAGTCCGCTCTCCCTCTCGAAATGCTCTCACATGGCCACGCGTATATAGTCTCTGCCAAGAAAGTCCTACTCACTGCCTTCTCGTGGCGGATGTGTTGTTTACGAAAATGAGAGGATGAAAAGAGAATGTCCGGCGCTTTAACCGGATCCCAAACCAATGGTGCACATGGGCTCCAGTATTCTGAAGGAACATATGGCGTATGAACCAATCGTTGGTCACCGGCTACCATGGGACTGCATCTCCTCACGATGCTCCACTGCCTTGTGGATCAGATCTTCAGGTCGAAGGCTCGGGGTGTGGTCCCCTAAGAAAACCACCTGCTTCGGTTTGGGCACCCGGGCAGTATCACAGCCCTCACACATATCAAGTGAGATCTGTGTGTTGCATATGTATTTGGTGCGTTCTTGTACCGATATCTATGTCTTAAAATAAAATAAAATCATATAAAATATGATATATTCTTAAATCTTTACAATTTACTTGAAGAGTTAAATTAATCCTTATCACCAGTATTCGTGCCTTTTCTCTTGTGTCCAGGTTGCCGTGTAGATTTAGTCTGGGGTTACTAGAAGCGGTTAAAAAATCGGGTCGAGCGTTCATTTAGAAGAATTACCATTAAGACAAACCATTGCATTTTTTATGAGCTCTGACAGTAAAAATCTAGATACTTTTCATCCTATATGAGATTTGTTAAATGGATCTCACTGTATATCAGTATTAATCTTCATACAGAAACTCAAAGTTAGTATTTGTTACTTTTTAACATCAGAGGGTTATGATTCAGACGAATGAATCGCAGTAGGCAACAATTTGTCCAAATGTAATTTTCTTCAGTGTTAAATATCAACAAACATTCGTAATTATTAATAGATTGGTACAATGTTTCCTACTTTCTACTGATACTTTATATGGCATTATTTAACTTTGATTAACGAGAGCTGAAAAAGGAATTCAATAACAAGTGTAAACATTCAATAACCAACATGATTGTAAAAATAACCGTTTGATGTAAATTCAACTTGTCAAGTACGTGCTTATTTAGTCAGCCTTGACTTGAAATGTTTATGTGAAGGTAATTAATACAACCCGACTATCCATATCGAAAATAAAACGGGATTTAAAACCGCAACCTGTTAGTTGAAAGCTAAGTATCATAATAGCTCAACTACCGCTACAGTATTGACAACAAAATAAACATGAAATACTGGCCAACATCAGTGCATGAACATTACACAATCATCGGACGTAAAAATCTATTATAACGAAAATAAGTTCCTTTTTTACTTCAAGATATAACTCATTCATAGGTATAACATACCACTAAACATTTTAAATAAATGGAAGCATGGCAAGCATAGTTGGCAGTTCTCATTCACGTGAAATTCTTTCAACAATACGTTTCCAATGAATGTCCTTTTTTATCTACTTGAAACGGATTAACTCAAACCAAAATAGTGTTTTATACAATGATGAAAAGAACCGATTGATGAATACAGTTAAAACTAACTTAGATAATTTCTTGTTTCACTTCTCGAAAAGATATCAGCGAATGGATTAATAATAAATTATCAACCGTCTTTCATACTCTTGATAAGAAAAAGTATTAGTCGTCTGGTTTAAGCAGATCGGAAATCAGTGGTTACTGCAATGATTACACACTAAGCCTATGAGGAGTAAATCCTGTTATCAAACTAGTAAAATCTGTTCATAAAACTAATAATATGATAATGCATTGTATTTCGTGTGTGATTATTAGAAAAGCACACAAAAAGCTATAATGCACCTCGGTCTCACTTTCTGAAGTATACTGTTAGTACAAACAACTGAAACATGTTGGATAAGATGTAGCTATTGTAACCTCGAAGTCAAATGGCCTTCGAAGTGATTGGTCCCCGTTTTATATATAAAAACAACAGTTATTAAAATGAAAGTATATTCGACTGCTGAGTGGTGGATTTCACTACTAAGATCTAACAAACAATATCAAGTTTATATTCAACAATAACTCTTATCATTCCTGATAATGTGTTATGATCCATATTACCTTTCTCTCTCTCCCTCCCGGTTCAAGACGGTTAGATTTTAAAGTGATCCGATTAAATAAATCATGCTATTAATTTTTTCTTCGTAAGAAAATGTCATTCGTCCAAAAAAGACAACAAGTATCACTTTACATGTCAGAAAAATTCGTGAACTTTAGAGTGATTGATACTAAAGTTCTAACCAGATTGTTAGTCACCCTTAAGGCTAAAAAATAACGAATCCTAGAAAATAAATTGTAGACAAATATTGATACGTTCTGCGAAAACCCCAGATGTTCATTACGTTTACAAGCAGGATATTTTTAATATAAATAAATCCATAGATTATTATTATAAAATCCTTCAATTAATGTAAATATATTTGTTTACGCTTTCATAAGACCTGTAATCACAATGTGCTTATTGTTGGTAGATTCGAGACAATACCATCGCTATTGAATGAGCTCAAACTGATGAAAACAAGAGATAGAATTATTGCACGAAATCAGCGACTTTAACTTAATCTAGCTTTAGGACTGTAGGGTTAGTAGATAAAGTATAGACCACAGACCAGAAATAGTAAGACTTCAGAAATATAACACAATAGATATTAAGATAGATTAGACCGATGGAGATCTAAAATTCGCACATACTTCTGGATAGTGGACAATAACTTGTTACTTGATTTCCAATGACATGGATTCTTTCGATGTTTGTTGGTTAGTTGAGACAGGATCACACTGATGTTAGATTTCACTCATATATCCCATCTAACGATTAAGATGAATTTTGAAAGGGATATTCACCATCACCACATTGGCCGTGCTTCAAGAAACGCTTACTGGTGTAATAACTGGAGAATATTGCAACTTGATGTAGAGATTCATGGCAATTTGGCGAAAACAGTCAATCATTCACTCAAATTACTGATACTTTAAACATTATTCATCAACTGTGAGAACTAAAATACGTATCAGTAAATTATCAGTCGATCATGTAAGCCAGTAACAAAGTCTAGTTACTGGCAAAGACCAAATGTATATGCAAATTACTTGCCTGTCGTCCGCTCTATTCGACTTCATTTCCCGGTGAAATTTCATAACCAAACACTATTTTAGAATTGTGTTCCTCTTAATGAATAGTTATTATACTATAGGTTTTGGATGAATATCACTAAAATTAAACAAACTATTAAAGTTATCTTATAATAGTGATAAATTGATTATCTTCCACAAGATACGTCCGAACTCAGTTTATTTCCATAATACTCAAAATTTTAAGACAAATAATAATTGGAGGTTACTGTTTTGTGTTACGAACTACCAATTTTTCCATTTTTTGCATTGTCTTAACAATAAAAGTAGAGGAAATCCGTGAAGACATAAATCTAAAATTAAAAATGACTGAAGCGAAGTAAACATAAATGAACTTCATGATGAAGTACTATCTATTGTATAAATTTGAATCAAATTTACAGAAGTAGAAGTAAAAATATGGTCCGCATTAAAGTCTCATTCCTTTTCTGACCGTGATCCAACCGTCATCATCAGGTTTATTACTGTATTCCATGCGTTTCTTGAAATAATTCTGTAGAATTGCTTCCGAATCACTTTTAGACTTTTGATAATCTATTATCCATTCAGGATTCCGAGTTAAATAACATTCTGTTATAATGAAAATAATCTAGGACATAATTCTAACATACCAGGAATGTTAACATCGGTCAAGTCGAACTCGTAAGTTGTATTCATTGGAGATATTAGAATTTTTTCTACACATTCTGATTTGTTAAATTCAAAGACACATCGAGCTTCAGGCTAATGAATTTCCAAAAGTTAGTCAGACAAAATAATTGTGAAAACCTACTGGTGAGTAGCGTAAATCAGTTATTTCACCAAATAATTTAAAGAAATTCAACAACGACTTCTATACAGTTTGAAATAAATTACCAAACAATTACCGCGTCCATTAAAGGATGTACATTGTAAATTAGAACAGATTTTTTCCCCAATTTTTCTGCATACATAAAGTGAGTAATACATTTCCCCAGACTCACGGGAATCGCTACAATTATTTAAAATAATTAAACGAATACACTATTGTGCAAAACTGGTTTGTTAAAGGTTTATACATAATTAGTAGTGACTGGCCTATACATATATTGAATATTCCACTCAAATGATCCTACAATCCTTATATACCTCGAGATTCGAAACAAAAACCGGACACTTGTATTTTTCAATTGAAATACAAAACACGTTCTCAGTGAATTTGAAAGACATTTTGGATTTATTAATTATCAACAGGGTTGATGTGCGACAATATGAGCCACACAATGATGGTACTAGACAATTTCTTAAATCCTACGTAAAGTGAGATGACAATTCGTAATATGATGGAAAGCAGTGTGCACAACACTGAAACATCTTCATTTACACTTAATTATGAAAACAATCTGACCAAATAAAATAACAGGTCTATTTTGTCAGACACTTTCGTGAAGAACGAGATGGACCAAATTTAAATAGCCCCAGTAAATAACTAAAGAATTGCTGGTTTAACAAAAGTAGACATCATTTCAAGCCTACCAGTTAGTCCTTTAATTATCAGTGGTTCATTCATCATCATTTAGCTCGGCCTGTGTTTGTAGTAATAATATACAATGGCAACTTGATCTAAAATGTGCAAAGTAGGGGATATTTAAAAACTTTAGACTGGTAACTAATTAAAGAAATAAATCTGAAGATCAACACATTAAGTACGAAAATTCAAGTGGCAGATTAGTTCCTATTCTTTGGAAGATACTATGCAGTAAATAATCCACGATCAAAAAGTGAAAATCTGAAATAGTAACAGAAAAATCCCCTCTATCTAGGAAGAGATGTATATCCATCCAACACATGAAATTGGATTAGAGGTGGTCATAGTGACCTGAGAGCGTGACCGCAGTACCCAAGGGACAGTTGCTTGAGGTAGGTCACACACGACCTTTTTATAAGTAGTCTTTGTGTTAGCTCCGTACTTGTTGAGACCTTACCGCCGGAGAAGGATATCCGTGGGATGGATTGGATCCAGAGGTCTTTAAGGATGGTGGTCCAATTTTAGTGACTAGGTTGACGAATATTTTAGCTAAAATCTGGGAGTTGGACATAATCCCCTCTGACTGGTCACAATCACTTATCGTCCCAATATTTAAGAAAGGGTTAAAATCATCCTGTGACAACCATAAAGGGATTAGTTTAACTAATATACTATCTAAAATACTAGCCTCGATAATTATCGGACGCCTAACTAAGACTCGTGAACTGCATACACGAGAGAATCAAGCTGGCTTTAGACCTGGTCGTGGCTGCATCGACCACATACTCACCATTCGTCAGGTTCCAGAACACAGGCATACTTATCGGCGTCCGACAATAGTGGTCTTCCTTGATTTAAAAGCAGCGTTTGACTCTGTTGACCGAGAGGTTCTGTGGCAGTGTCTGTCATTGAAAGGCGTACCTCAGAAGTACATAAACCTTGTGAAGGCTATTTACTCGAACACAGCCCCCAAATGCCCTGGTATGGCCGAGAGTGGGGAGGGTTCGCCCTCCCTCTCGAAATACTCTCACACGGCCACGCGTATACAGCCTCTGCAAGGGAAGTCCTACTCACTGCCTTCTCGTGGCGGGGGTGTTGTTTACGAAAATGAGAGGATGAAAAGCGAACGTCCGGCACTATAACCGGATCCCAATTATATGGTGCACATGGGCTCCAGTATTCTGAAGGAACAAATGGCGTATGAACCAACTTTTGGTCACCGGCTTTCATGGGACCGCATCTCCTCACGATACTCCACTGCCTTGTGGACTAGACCCTTGGGTCAAAGGCTCGGGGTGTGGCCCCCTAAGAAAACCACCTGCTTCGGTTTGGGCACCCGGGCAGTATCTCAGCCCACGCACTAAAACCATGATGATGAACAATTTGCTTATGGAAAATATTCCTTTCTCTCTGATTAACATTGAAATAACTCGTACTATTATTATTATTATTACTATTATTATTATTACTCTACCACGTCATTTATTCACCCTCCATTTCGACCTAGACAGCAGCTCACCTATGGTGAAAATTCAGTTTTATCTAAACGTACTCGAGTCACTGCCTGGTTGAAAATTGTATGTTACCACCGAATATGAGTACTGAAGCAGTTCTTCTGAAACCACGTACACCATTCAAACTGGCTGCCTTCAACGTTCGCACACTTATGCAGGTCGGACAACAGATAGGGATGGCTATGTCTTTGGAAAGTCTTAATATTGACGTGTGTTGTCTATCAGAGACCCGTATTCAAGACTCTGGTGAAGTACTACAAGTTCGCTCCCCATCTGTCGCTTCAAAAAGCTTGTTTTATGTGCGTTTATCCGGGGACCCTGTGGCATCTTCGTCTGGTCTTGCTGGCGTTGGTGTCGCACTAAGCGCAAGAGCTGAGGCAGCACTAGTCGACTGGATCCCCATTAACAGTCGGTTATGTGCTGTTAGATTAGAAAGTTCCATCAAAGTGAGAAGAAATCGGCGTGAGAAACGATGTCTTTTCGTCATCTCCGCCTATGCCCCGACAGATTGCAGCCCGGATGCAATCAAGGACGAGTTCTACCACCAGCTAACTGCTCTTCTCCAGAAAGTGAGTTCGACAGATATTGTAGTACTAGCTGGAGACTTGAATGCTCAGGTCGGGCGTCTAGGCACAGAAGAGAGTCGTTTAGGTGGCCGATGGGGACTCGTTGGTCGCAGGACAGATAACGGGGAACGTCTACTGCAACTATGCACAGACCACAACCTGTTTCTGGCTAGCACTAACTTTCGGCACAGTCATCGCCGATGTGCCACCTGGCGTCCCCCTTCTGCATCTCAAGCCTGGACTCAGATTGATCACATCGCGATCAGCTACCGCTGGCGTGGTTGTGTACAAGACTGCCGCTCCTTTTGGAGTACCTATCTGGAATCTGATCATGCTCTGGTCGGAGCGTGCCAGTGAGTTGGAAGCAGTAGCTGCATCTGGTAATTACCGGAAGCTCTTCCAACTCATCCGAGCCACTGGCAGCAAGAAGTCTGGTGTGAGCGAAACAATCTGCGACGACGACGGAATGCCAATCACTAACATCCATCGACGTCTTGGACGATCATCGTTGTCTCCGAAGGATTGCTGGCATCCAGTGGCAACACCATGTCAGTAATGCAGGGGTTCGACATCGAGTGTTCGGTCACAGAGACGATAATGAAATTGGTGTCACCATCTTGAAACACCGACTTCGGTGGCTTGGACATGTTCTACGAATGTCGTCACAGAGAATTCCTCATCGTGCATTATTTGCCGACTCTGGGATTGGTTGGAAAAAGCGGAGAGGTGGTCAGTATATGACATGGTGTCGTGGTATGAAAGAAAGCTGCAAAGGGCTAGCTTCTGTTGGTCCTTCACGACTCCCTGGTTGGGGTCCAAAAGACGGTGTGACGCAGTGGCTAGAGACGTTATCAGATATGGCTCAGAATAGAAGCCAGCGGCGATCCTGCTGTAACCTTCTTTTACTTTCTTCATAAAAAGTGTTTGTATCTTCCTTAACTGAAAGATCTCTTCTGAGTGTACCTTTCCGTTTTCCCCATCATTGTTCTCTCTCTCTCTTTTTTTATTTATCTATAATTCCCCACGTTCATTACTTTTTTTTCTCTTTTCTCCTTCTCTTCAAATTATCATTGTTTTGTGTGGCGCATATATATTTGGTGCCCCCCTGTACCAATATTTATGTGTTCAAATAAATAATAATAACTCGAACACTACTAGTTGAGTCAGAGCTTATGGAGAACTGTCATCTGCTTTTGCGACCTCAAGTGGTGTCCGTCAAGGCTGTCAAACATCTCCATTTTTGTCTAACTTCATCATAGACCTACGGATGGAAATAACGCTCTCGTCGACTGAATTCTCAGGTATTGATCTCCTACCAGGAAGTCCACTTATTGACTTAGAATACGCAGATGAAATATTCATGTTTGGTGAAGACACTGATGAAATGCAGAGTATTTTGGTAGCACTGAGCAACAATGCCAAGGTTTTTAGGATGCGTTTATCCCCCTCTAAATGCAAGTTGTTGCTTCAGGACTGGTCTGCGTCAACACCTGAACTAAGGATAGGGAGTGAAGTTGTCGAACGCGTTGACAACTTCACTTATCTTGGAAGTCTGATCAGCCCTCATGGGTTGGTGTCTGACGAAATCTCAGCACGGATTCGAAAAGCTCGTTTGGCCTTTGCCAACTTACGTCACCTATGGCGAAGGCGAGATATCCGTCTATCAATTAAGAGACGAGTATACTGCGCGACAGTTCGTTCCGTTCTACTATACGGCTGCGAAATATGGCCTTTAAGAGTGGAAGATACTCGTAAGTTACTAGTATTTGACCACAGGTGCCTTAGAAATATTGCGGGTATCTGCTAAAATCACCAGGTAAGTAATAGTGAGGTTAGACGCAGGGTATTAGGGAATGATGGTAAATCAGTTGATGAGGTTATGAATCTTCATCGACTGAGATGGTTGGGCCACGTGCTGCGTATGCCTGAACACCGATTACCACGACGCGCAATGCTAACCGGTGTTAGGGATAATTGGAAAAAAGTTAGGGGCGGCCAAACCAAAACGTGGCATCAGTGCTTGAAGTCACTAACTTCTGGGCTGGGCCGTGTTGGAAGATTCAGACTGCTTGGTTGGGGTCCGCGTGACTATCGTAACCAATGGTTGGAGACTCTTGGTGACATGGCTCAGAATCGATCACAATGGCGTCGGTGTATACACTCTCTGTCTTCCTTAAATTAAGAGATTAAAATCACTTCAAATCTTTCTTTCTACGAACTAATTCTTTCTTCCTGTACTATCTCCTTATATGCAATCTTTCTTTTATATATTACCACCACTAAATTAACTACTTCTATGAATCCGGTGTTCATCTTGCTGTGCTAATGAGGTGTGGAAACTTGGACCGATACATATATGTGCCTGGTCCTACGTTGTAGCTGACTGACTGACAACATGAATGCCACGGTATTTCTACTTGATAGATTTCGAAAATATCTTCAGCAAATTCTTTTTCGAACTGCTTAAGAATCCTATTGTTACAAGATTTTATATTAGAATATGAAAACTTTGTTAACTGAATATTTGTGGCCAGCTTTCTAAAATGCTGGATCTTTCTACTTTCTCACTAAATAAAAACAAAAACTTCCAGTGTGTTAGTCTGTGAGGTGATAAACCTTAGGGTTATTTCCTTCGAGATAACGACTTAATAAGCATACATATAACTGCTGTATTTCGATGCAATCTAAAGGTATAAAATTTTCTACTTTGCCAGCTAGAGAATTACTGAACGATGTTTCACAGAATTAAGTTAAGCGGCCTTTTTACATTCAATTGAAAGCAATAACCTCAAAATAAAGGATAATATTTACACACAAAAAAATCCAAACTATTAAACCTAAATTTTCTCTGAATATAATTAAAGTCAATGTTTCAGGAGCTCCAGTCCCAGAGAAAAAGACTCCATCCCTTAGTCTTCAAAAAATTGGAAAATCTAACCAGCATCTAAGGG